CCAGAGGACCCAATCATGAGGTACTAGGGATGAGGGTAGTACTGTAGTTCTGTAGATTGTTTGGGAGCGTGTATGGGTAGTTCTAAAACAGGATCCCATCTTAGGTCCCCAAAATAGTACGGCACCCCTACAAACATGACAACAAGAGAGACCCTAATTTAGACTACTACCCATATGATTATCAAGTACTTGGACCCTCAGGAAAAGCCCACCGCTAACGGGCGAAAAACCCGTGGAGCTGCATGCACAGCTGGCAGCACTCTTCCTGCTCGTGTGTTTTTCACCGCCTTCTTAGAGGTTCAGGATCAAGGGAGACCTTGAACCACACTCAGACTCGGCAAGCCTCCTTGTCAAAGGGGCAGACCGTTTTGTGGGTTTCGGTCTAGGGTTTAGGGTGTGGCAATACTGGTGGCCGAGGGCTTAGATCTGAAAGGGCCGTATGTTTTTAGGGCACATAACATATAGTTCAGGGTTCGGGTTAGAGGTTTGGGGTTTAGAGACGAACAAAACCATCAAGGGTACCTTGAGAGAATCTACAACCAGATGACTTCCAAGTGGCTTCTGACTTTTGTCCAGTGATCTACTTGGGTAATCTTGGGCGAGGACGCCTTCTAGGTTTGAAGCCCCGTTTGAAGCCCGATCAGCCAATAGTTCGGACAACCAGTGCACGCCTCCTTGACCTCATCCACACTTAAGAACAACGCTGCATGGCCACAAACCCTAAATCGTCAAAATCTCAACTCTTACACCTCCCTGTAACCCCCAAAGCCCCCAACCCTAAATCCCACCAGCAGCAAGTCTAACACGTACCACGCACAAGTCCCCATAGCTTTGAGCAATGTTCGGTTCAAGGTTCGTAGGTCCTAACCAAGGTACAAGGATCATGTAGGGTCTTTGATAAGGCAAATATTAAGGCCCCTATATTATAATCCATGATCTCGACCCAGGACGCCTTCTTGGAGCTATCGGCTCTACGTGCAGGCGCTTGGGGGCGGGCTCTTAAAAATCATAGGCTAGGGCTACGTTGTTTTGTGGTTACTGTGCGATATACATGAGCAGGGTGAAAGTTTCGTTGCACTAACATATCATGAACATTCAGTTTCTGCGATGGAGCATATGTGCGCTTCCGTGCGTGAGTGCAGGGAACGACGGAAATACGCGGATGATGTTCGCAATCTGCACTGACAGTCTTCTCTCCCGCCCTGAGCCCTTCGTAAAAGGGCCTGAGGAATTACGAGCAACAAGATCTTTATGATAAAAAAGTTGCATGATTTTCCTGCTTTGCGTTCTTATTACTGGCATTTTTCGTTTTCATGATTGAAACTGTTGTTGTGCCTGGCTTATTAGTTTCCCTCTTTGGGCTCCTCGGCATCATCATAGAAAAGGATGCCCGCAGATCCTTTTATGTTTAGTAAACAGGTTTAGTGTCTAGGGTTTATACTTCAGGACCTTGCTTTAGTCATCAAGCCCTGACTGGATTTTCCAGAGGCTGGGCAGCTGTTCGGCAAGCTGAGAATTCTCCTTGCAAAGGACCGGGGAAAACAGTAGGGCAGGATTCCCTTTAGTATAGGGCGTTGGTCATTGGAATAGGGTTTCGGATTTAGGGAGTAGGGTTCGGGGTATACAGGCAGGGTCGTTACTAGTGGACTAGGGCCTTCGAAGTTAGACTGGGGTTTGCGGGTCTGCAGCTAGATGGGTCAGTATCAAGGAATGCTGTTACAAATTGTTCATATTTCACGTGTAGTAGTTAAACTGTACCAGTTTTTGAAATTGCTCCTTGCACGTTTCCCAAATTGTCCGCAGCCTGCGCTGTCTCATGAGGCAATTTGACCTGTCAGCTCCTTTTTCTGGCATGGTTATATAGTTGCGAAGTTTTAATTTCTTGGTCGGAATGCTTTCGTTTTATATGCGTTGCCCGTAGTATTGCTTACGGTTCAAATATCGTCCCAGGCAGAATCTACCCGAGAATCCCACTCAAACCCTAAACCCTAAACCTAAACCCTAAACCCTAAACCGCCCCCCCAGATACGATCTTTGATGGTTTCAACCCCAAGCTCCAATTCCTACACGTTTTCCCTGAACTTTCGCAAGGACGAGCTTGAGAAGCAACGCCTGCGGGACGCGATGCGCCGTGCTTGCAACGGGCTTCAACCTGGTTGCCTAGGTTTTAGACTGCGTCGTTCCAGCTAATGGGGCTTAGGGTTTTGAGGTCTGTAGGGTTGAGGGTGTAGGAGCTGGTTCCAATGCAGCATGAAATTACCCATAGGCCCGCCATAGTAGTTCCTTTTTGGGAAGACCTTATAGGATTCTAAGTCTGAGCCCCAAAAAGGAACTACTATGGGGCCTATGGGTAGATATGTACACTGTTATAACCGTATAATAGCGCCCCATATCAAGGCTGGCTCGCCTTTGTTTACCTGCTCAGGGTCCTGTGTATATAAATAAACAAATAAATAAATAAATAAATAAATATATATATATGCGCATGGGTTTAGGGTTTAGAGTTTAGGGTTTAGGGTTTAGGGTTTAGGGTTTAGGGTATGTATGTATGTATATATATATATATGAATATTGCAGTCAGGCAAGGTCTTCAGTGAAGGCGGCGGAGCCTTTGTAGGCTTTTGGGAGTTGGTTTTCTATCTCTTAAGCCCTAAAGCTCCAAACAGCTCAAAATAGACACCCTAAACCCTAAACCCTAGACCCGTTTACAGCTTGCAGACCCCGAAAATCGACACTGAGACTTTTAGGGTCGAATGGAGACTTTCGGGGAGTGAGAAGCTCGAAAGCTTTCTGTTCTTTTGGATTTGCGAGGATCAGGTTTCTTTGCTGCCGCAACGGGGTCTGAGGGTTTTGGGGTTGAAGGCTTAGAGTTCAATGATTGCGGTATGTTGAGACTGCCAGAGATTAACGGAGATGTGCATTACGACATTGCAATTGAACTTCGAAGGTGTTGAAGGCTTCTGCGATTCAACGTGTTACTCCCTAGCCTTCGTCTGTTGTATTTGTCAGATTTGCTACACAGGAGTCTGTATGTGTGTATACATACATACATACATACATACATACATACATACATACATACATACATACATACATACATACATACATATACATACTAATACATACTAATACATACTAATACATACTAATACATACATACATACATACACACATTCATACATACATACATACATACATACATACATACATACATACACTTACACTTACACATGTGCACACGGTTCTCCGGTGATACTATGCTGTATTATCCTGCAGGTTTCGGGGC